TAGCCAATAGCGAGAAAGGATCAATAAGGTAAGAAAATCGCCAATTGATTCCATATATGGTTGGAATCTAAAGGGATTAGGGGTGATGGCGCTAGGGTTTCAGAGGAGAGAAGAGGAGTGTTTGAGGGCAGCGATTTTAGAAGAATGAGGGGTTAGGGTTAGGAGTGGTTAATTAAAAGGGAAGGATGAACGGGGGTCGTTGATCTTGAAAGTCAACGGTCAGGATTAAAAGGGCTTTGGTTCGGGTATAGAAAACGGGTCACCGATTGGGTTATTGGGTTAGTGGTCATTTGGTTTGGGCTGAGATGTTGGGCTGGTGCATTTCAGGTAATTGGGCTAGGGGTTGGTCCGATTTTAAATAAAAAATGGGCCAGATTTCAAATACCCAATTTAAATTAGTAAATAATTTGTAAAAAATAATAAATAAATAATAAAAATATTCATTTGAGCATAAAACAAATAAAAATAGTTATTTAAAACTATAAAAGTATAAAAAGATTATTTTGGCATAAATAAAGTAATTATAAATACATATTGGATATTATTGCAAATGTGTAGTCTTAGCCTTTAAAAATGCAAATATAATTCTGACAAATATGCTAAAAATATTTAAACCTGATATGGATGCCAACAATGAAATCAGGTGATAAAATCATTATAAAATAAATTGTGAGGTATTTAATGAGTATTTATATAATAAAAATGCAAGAATAAATTGATTTAAAGCCTTTAAAAATTATAAGAAATTATGAAAAATGCTTGTATATGTTGATAAATCAGGTGATGGTGCATATGCACTATTTTGAAAATATGAGGGAAAATTGGGTATCAACAGGTGCACTGTGGGCTAGCTGATCGGAATACTGCATATGAGGGCCACGACCACCTGAAGCACGGTGAGAAGCCTGAAGCGCAGAATGAAACGGCCTGGAAGGATGGCCTCTGCCAAAAGCACCCCGACCTCCAAATGAGGCCCCACTGAATCCACCGGAGTGACGAGGCCTCTTGTCAGACCCCTGACCACTCCCCTGAGCTAAAACCATCTCAACTCGCCTGGCCACATTGGCCGCCTCCTGGAAAGAAATCTCACTCCAGTCTCCTTAGCCATCTGCAATCTGATAGGCTGAGCGAGTCCCTCAATGAACCTCCTCACTCCCTCTCTCTCTCTCTCTCTCTCTCTCTCTCTCTCTCTCTCTCTCTCGGTGGGGAGTATAAGAAGAGCATGAAGGGCCAAATCAATAAAGCGGGTCTCGTACTGAGTAACAGACATGCTGCCCTGCTGGAGACGCTCGAACTGCCTGCGATAGTCCTCTCTCAGCGTAACAGCGTAAAAGGAACTTCTGGCCTAACAATAATCCCTCCACCATTTCTTGGCGGAACCTGACAAACGAAAGGCAGCAAAGTCGACCCCATTGGTCTCCACTATCCCCATGTTCCGTAATACCTCATGACAACTATCCAAATAGTCCTGGGGATCCTCTGAAGATGTACCGTCATAGTGAGTGGTGAAAAGCTTGGTAAACATATCCAACCTTCACAAAGCCTCCGAAGACATAGCTGATCCATCACTGGTCTGTGCTGCTGCTCAGCTGAAGAAGCGGTACGTGACCTCGCCATCCGCGAAAGAACAAGAGTAGAGGGTTCAATTTAGCATTGAGAGAACAAAATCGCACGACAGAGAAGAATAGAAGTGAAATTATTCCTAAACTCTGTAGCCTCTGGGGGATAAGCACAGACGTCTCCGTACCGATCTCTCAGACTCTACTTAACGTGTTCGTGAATCGTGTGACCTAGGTAACCTAGTGCTCTGATACCAACTTGTCACGACCCGGATTTCCCACCCTCGGGATCGTGATGGCACCTAACCTTTCAGAATGCTAGGCAAGCTAACAGATAGAGATTTAATACGCTAACCACTAACCAATTAAATAAATAACAACAATTTAAACCAAAGCAGATTAAAGGAGTGCGGAATTTTGTGATGATCCAAGTACTAATACACGACTACCCAAAATCTGGTGTCACAATCCACGAACTTCTAAGAGTCACTACAAATACTAGCTGAAAGAAAATACAACTGTCCTCGAATCTAAAGAAAACATAAAAACTAGGATAACTGGAAGGGGACTCCAGGGTCTGCGAACGCCGACAGATCTACCTTGGGTCTCCTGTTGGACTGAAGGCAGCAACTCCACTCGGGTCAACATGGTCCAGTACCGAAATCTCCACGGAAAGTGCAGAGTGCAGTATCAGTACAACCGACCCCATGTACTGGTAAGTGCCGAGCCTAACCTTGACGAAGTAGTGACGAGGCTAGAACAAGACACATACATAACCTGTGCAGTTAAGCAATATACGGGCATAATAACAAATAATAGAAACTAAACACATAATAACGGGATGGGAAAACATGCTGAGGGAAGTACGAGATCATAAAAATAGAACAGTAAAGAAACACAGCAAAACAAGTGCATTGCATCACCCTTTGTGCTTTTACTCTCGTCCTCACCATAACAAATGAAAAGAACGATAATAATGAATATAAACAAGACACGACATCATCTTTCGTGCTTTACGCTCTTCCTCACATGATAATGAATATGACATGGCACGGCATCACCCTTCGTGCTTTACACTTTTCCTCACATAATAATGAATATGCAATGGCACGGCATCACTCTTCGCGCTTTATACTCTTCCTCACATGATAATGAATATGCCAGTCGCGCTTTATACTCTTCCTCACATGATAATGAATATGCAATGGCACGGCATCACCCTTCGTGCTTTGCACTCTTCCTCACATGATAATGAATATGCAATGGCACGGCATCACCCTTCGTGCTTTACACTCTTCCTCACCCAAACAACAAAAGATAATGAATATGCAATGGCACGGCATCACCCTTCGTGCTTTACACTCTTCCTCACCCAAACAACAAAACAATAACAACTGGCAATATAATTTTTAATAACAAGCCCCCTTTCAACATTTAGTTTCACAACGTCAGTCTCAATTTTAGGTCAATACTCAACCAATATTCAATTCCAACGAAACATGAACAATACAAATAAGAATACGACAATCACAAGAATAAGACTCACTTGCATGCTATGACTCGACAACAACGTATAGTACTCGCCACCTCACCTACACGTTATACTTAACAACCAAACACGTAGCACATAGGCAACAATACCTAATTCCTCAAGCTAAGGTTAGCCACAACACTTACCTCGCTACCACGGCCAAACTCAAAGCTCAAACACCATTTTTTCCTTCTCACGAGCCTCCGGACTAACAGAATCTAGCAAATTACCAACCAAACAATTCAATTTAAGCCTTAGGAACTACCCATGATTGCAAGGAATTAAATTTAGGCCATTTTGAAAAAGTCACAAAAGTCAACACCCGGGCACGCTTGGTCGAAACCCGAAACTCGGACCAAAACCCGATTACCCATTCACCCCCGAGCCCGGATATACAATTGGTTTTGGAATTCGACCTCAATTTGAGGTCTAAATTCCCAAATTTTAAAATCCCTAATTTCTACCCAAAAATCCCCAATTCCACCATGAAAATCCTAGATTCTAGGTTGAAATCTTGTTATAAGAAGTGAAAGATTGAAATAAAAGAGTTAAGAATCATTTACCTATGATTTGGGGAAGAACTAGCCTTTGAAAAATCGCCTCTTGAAGTTTAGGTTTTGAAAATTTGGGAAATGAATCAAAAATTTCGTCTAAGTCTCTTTTACACAGCTGCAGATGTCGCATTTGCGACCTGAGCTTCGCAATTGCGAAGCTCGCAAATGTGAAGAACCATCACAAATGCAAAGTCCTCCACACCTCTGCTGCCTTCGCAAATGCGAAGGTAAGATCACAATTGTGAACATGATCCTCCGCAAATGCGACAAAATGATCGCATTTGCGATCACTGCGCTTCCCAATGTTACTTCGCAAATGCGCAGAAATCTTCGCAATTGCGAAGACTGCATGGCCCAGCTTCTTATCGCGATTGCGATGGAAGACTCGCAAATGCGGAACCTGAAGGTTTCGCAATTGCGATGCCTGATCTCGCAATTGCGAGATCAGTGGCCTGCAACAGGTTCAGTCATACCAGCAAATTTTTCTAAGTTCCAAAACACTTCGTAGCCTATCCAAAACTCATCCGAGCCCTCGGGGCTCCAAACTAAACATCCACACAAGTCTTAAAACATACAAACTTGCTCGTGGACCAAATCGCCAAAATAACATCTAAAACTACGGATTTAACACCAAAACACATGAAATTCTTATGAACACTTGAAGTTCCTCTTTTCTCAACCGGATGCCCGAATCACGTCAAATAAACTCCGTTTTTCACCAAATTTCACAGACATGACTTAAATATTACTTAAACCTGTACCGGGCTCCGGAACCGAAATACGGGCCCTATACCAACGAGATCAAACATTAATCAATTTCTTTAAATCCTTAGATTTTCAGTTTAATAATTTTTAACAAAAATTCATTACTCGGGCTAGGGACCTCCGAATCCGATTCCGGACATATGTCCAGGTCCCATATTTTACTACGGACCCACCGAGACCGTCAAAATACGGGTCCGGGTCCGTTTACTCAAAATGTTGACCGAATTCAACTAAAATCAACTTTTTAGGCCAAAAATTATTATTTCATTAGTTTTTCACATAAACGCTTTCCGGAAACGCGCCCCCACTGTGCACACAAACCGAGGGGGAATAAAATGAGATTTTGAAGGCCTCGGAACACCGAATTAGGTTCTAAAACACAAGATGACCATCCGGGTCATCACAGTTTCTCATTAAAGGTAAAATGAGTAAAATAAAGAGTTTAAAGTTGAATTATTTCCAAATTTAGAAATGTGTCATTTATTTTGGAACAGACTAAAAAGGAAAGTACTTCATCTAATTTGAAACGGAGTTAGTACTACATTTGCAAAAAACAAATGTCTCATATGTCATTTCCATGAAGTGAGTTGGTTAAAAATGAAGCAGGTTTCACCCCGATATTGACAGAGCTATAGATACAAAAGCATGAGAATTAATCAGCTAAGAGTCAAACAGAGGAAGACGACTTACTGTAATTACACTCAATTGCATTCAATTAATGCATTACAGTTTGAACTATTAAAAAGAATAATACAATTATCACGTTCAGATATTCTTAATCAACAGCTGCAGAAGTAAGAGATTCAACCGTTGTAGATATCCCCAAGTACTCTTCCCATCTGTCTAAACCTTAGTGGACAGAATTTAACGTTAACTGTGCTGATGGGAGGTAACAAGCACCCAGTAGAGTAGTAGTCTAGCTAGAGGAAGTGCCATAGTAAGCCAGCCCAGTATTATAAGTTGAAGAATTAACAAGATTACATACAATAGTCACCTTTCTGTATTAATCAACAGCCGCAAAAGTAAGAGATTCAAGCGTTGTAGACTTCCCTTAGTACTCCTAAAACCTTGTTTGCTACTTCTTGACCAAAAAGTCTAGGGAAGCTTGATTCAAGATCTATCTCAATTGTCTTATTCTTAAATATTTTATCCCTCTTTGCCAAAGCTGTACTTTCATCCTCTGTCAATTTTCTCTCAGGACAAGCACACAGATCCAACCATGTCTCCAACATTACCTTAGCAACAGGACTTATGTGATCCTGAATAATCTCATCAATGCGAATTGCCTGAGAAGCTTCAGTTTCTATGGAAACCAAGATAGCTGACGGAGAGACAACAGCTCGGATATATAGAGATGAAGAGAAGTAAGGCTTCACCTCAGGTAGCTTCTCGAGAAGTTGTCTCTGTTTGTCTAATTGTGTTTCCTCGTAAAAGGTTTTAAGGTAATCAGGATGTTGGACAAGGTCCTTTCGTGGAGGTAGATCAAGAATGAGGATGAGAGATGTTGGACTGCTGCGGATGACTTCGATTAAGAAGTTTGGTGCATCAGTTGAAGGTCTCAAATAGGCGGAGAGGCTTGTAATGTTCAAGGCTCCACCTGTGGGCAAGTTGCAATGAACCCAACTACCGAGTATGAAATCAACCTGTCACACATTAGAAAGGCAAAATGTTAACTTTGCATGTATTCCTGATGCTAGCAAAAAGCGATAAGATTCATGGAGCTTGAAGCGAAAAGCAAGAAGCGAATCGCACAGTTTAAGAAATTCCAAACGTATATGAATTTAATGCTTTAAGAATCACCATGCAATTAGAATAACTAATTTCATCATCTCATATACAATAAGGCCGATATTAATCCAACTTGTCAAAGTTGAGATTCCCAAGAACCTATTGTTTCTTGTTTGTATCATTTTGGATTCACTTATTTTAACCGCACACTCCTCTGAAGCGCATTGCTCGACTGAAGCAATAAACCCTCGCTTCGAATCGCTTCAAGCGACGAAGCAATAGCTTTTAATAAACACATCAAGCGCTGAAGCGATAGCTTTTAATAAACATCAGATGCTAGAATGACAAGAACTGCTTTATTATGTAAAAGCTGAAATCATTTACTGTGTGTTCCCAAAAGTATCTTATATTAAACACGTGTTAGAAACAGACTATCAAATCACAAAGAGAATCAAGACCTAACGAAGAACTGTCGAGCAGTCAATGAAACTATTGATTAAGCTGATAAATGGCGGAACAAGAACTTATGAGTAGACACCAGATCAAAATTAGGAATGAATAAGGAAAATCAGATGGTGCCCAAATTTACTTCCTTAAGCCTTAAGTGGAACTAACTTAATGCTCCTTAAGACTTCCTGTTTACATTCTCCACCTTGCTCTTGCAGTCCTCATGTATACTTCAATAAGAATATGTCGAGTAAAAGCAACTCTACACCAGAACTGAAGACTACAAACTATGCACATGGATAATTCTAAAAACAAGTCCAACCGGGATAGTGTCCATACCAAGTATAACCATATTGATTATATCGCTTTTGAATAATAATAACCCATTGAAGTATAAATTGTAGAGTTAGAAGGATCTTTTTTCATCTCCGCACACAGGGGCATGTCCAATACAAATTGAACCTTAAACTGTTCCTTTTACTGGTAAGCAGAAAATTGCTTGAATTCACCTTATCACAGAGGAACGCCGCAAAATTACGAATTTGATAAACACCTTATGTAACTTTTAGAGGAATAACCAATCCCAGGTTCTAATGGAGACAAAATCTCTACTTATGTTCAATATGATCCTCGTATATAGACAAAGGCGCGGCGATAACAAAACTACATTTGCTCTTCATAAACTTGCACTTGGCTTTTGAATTTGTGTTCTTACTCCTAAACAACTGAAATTAAATTAGCATAATGAATAAGAAAGCTCACACTTATATAAGCACAATTTGGCATGGTTTTTAAATCCTCTGAATTAAGCCAAACCAACTAAAGATAGATGATTAGAGTTCTATACTTATACAAGAACGAGATTTATCAATCATTATCGTAATAAATCACAAAGGAAAATGTAATGCAGCAAAAAGGTCCAGAAGATTTTCTTTTTTATTTGTTATCTTCGCCATGTAAATTTAACAGCGAAAGAGAGGATTTGTTCTCACATAGGAGCCGTGCTACATTCTATTGGAGGCAACATCATGATCAAGGAAATGGTGAGAAGAACAATTTATTTAATTAAGTCTCAATCACCCTCCAAAAAGAAAAGTCAATTTTGCTTATTGTCCTTCCAAGATATCCTCAACAAGATTTATAAGTATAGATTATCTATACTAAATCCACACTTAGTCTTTACAAAAGGAATAGTGAATGTAATATTCCATCTCTTCCATTGTACATGGCATTCTTTCATTTCTGTTTAAAAATAAATGCCACTTTTCTATTGAAAATTCTTTGAGTTTAAATTATTCATTTGATCCTTAATGATATGCTTTTATAGCCATAAAAAAAGTTACCGGCCGAACCCGCAACCAAAAGGCTAGCTCCGCCCCTGTAAGTTAGAGTGTGGGTTACGGGTTCGGCCGAACACAGAAGCTTTGAGTCAAACCATGTATTTGTGTTAAGAAATCCATCAAATTACTAATTTAGACTACAGTGACTTAAAACGCTAGAATCCTGAAACCGTAAGCTTCAAATTCTGGCTCTGCCTATGTCATGGCATGTCTAAAAACACAAATTGTAAGTTATTTTATCTTAAACTCTGTACTCAGCCAAACACCGCAAGATAGAGTAGTATTCTCACATGTTTCTCAAAAGACATTAGCTTAACGACAACAATTTATAGGTAATGGAGGCTAATTGAGGGGTACCTGGGAAGAGGAGTGGCCAGATCTGACATAGAGAGAAGCATGAGCAGTAGCAGTCGAATTCTCAAAGTACTGCACATTACAAGGCAGAGTACAAGGAAGAAGAGATGTTCCAAGCCGATTCTCCACAGTCGATACAAGTTCCACCATTAACTCCCTATGTGGGACAGAGACGTAAGGAAATTCCTTGAATTTCGACTTGTTTTCGTTCTGCTGTTCCATGTATTTTGAGGATGAACAAGATAAACGACGTTTTCTGAGGAAAACAGAGCGAGAAGAAGAAGGGAGTGACGGTTGTGCGAGAATTTGTGAAGTGAATAATTGGACAGAGCATAGAGAAATCGCCATAGCAAAACTGCCATATTGTCACTGCTTTTTCTTTTCTTCGAAAACAAAACTGACGTGTGGGACTTTTGTCCTGTCGCAAGTCCCATCCACTTGCACCTTGACCTGATTATCTATTGTTACTTTAAATATATTTTTATTCGGTCCATTTTAATTAATTTTTTTAGTTTTTTGTTATCGTTCATGATATTTAATTTTTTTCAGATACCAAAGAGAAATTAACTTTTATTTTTTTTTCAAAGTTGGATTTGGAATAAAGAGCCAATAAATATTTATTATATTTTTAATGAACAAATTAAGATTAATATAGTCATTTTTATTGTTAATTAATCCTAAAGCTGAATTTCTTAATATGTATGAAAATGGTCAAAAAATCAATTAAATTGGATCGTAGGGAGTAATATTTATTTTAATCTTTACTTAAATTTTATTGTATCGTATCGTTAAATTCTACGTTACGTAACGAAGAAAAATGCGACTCTATGAAACGACTGATTTGATGTAATCGCGTTATTCCCTTATTTTTTTCTCTCATCTTGCCCCTCCTTATTATTAAATAATCTTATTTTATCTTTTACTCTACCTTTTTATATAATAGTTCTATCTCGTACCTTATTTTTTCTTTAGAATATTGCAAGTTTATTATTCATATTGTTGGTGCATGACATCATGAAAAGATGGCAAATAATACAATCTACCCAAATGTTGTATACATCACAATAATATAGTGCAATACAATATAATATTATACAATACTTAATAAACGATACATAACAACCATCCACACAAGCCGTTAGGAATTAGTAATTGCACTCGCAAGATATTTATTGGAGATTTTGTTAAATTATTTAAATTAAGATTGATAATAATATCTGCATGTTGAAAGAGTGTGGTATGAAATAATGAAAAGTAAAATCAATATTAATACCAAATATATGCGTGTAAAACCATGTTTTATATATGCTTGTATATACGTTTGTCATTTCATTAAGTTAATAACAATATATCTTTTCCCCTAGTTTATAAGTTTTAAAACTAAATTATTTGTTTGATATAAGCACTGAGTATGAATATTTATTTTCCTGTTAGTTACTTGCTCTGTCCCATTTTGATCGCCGCTTTAACTCAAAGAAATTATTCCAAAATAATTGTTACTTTAGGATTTCAAGATTAAATTTGTTCATTATTTTTAATAATACCCTTAATATTGAAGAAGTAATAGTTTTTTTAATACTAGTTCAATTCTCAAAAAATATTTAATAGGGATAACAAAATAAACTATATCTTTTATTTATTATTTTTTTAATAAATACGAAAAGAGCTAAAGAAGTTAAAATAAAACACATAAAGTAACAAGTACGGTGCAGTGATTAATGTCAGAAAGAAACATTGATTGTTGCTTTAATGTAACGTGAAACATAAAAGGCAATCAAGATAGTAGGTTCCGTTTTACAGTCTTCAAATATTTTGACTTTTAGGAATGATTATAAATGGAAATTATAAAACTTTATTACATTAGAAAGATTGTAATATGACAAAACACATATTGAATTCTGATAGTACTCTTTCTATTTATACGGAGTGACAATTAAATATCCAGCCTTTGTTTGCTTAATAGCATTCTTTACACGTTTATCACTTGGCTACCGCACAAGCTTGTATCTATTTGTCAAATAAATATAAATTCACGATCCAAATTAGTCAATATTTTCCAAATTTTCTATAGTGATTTTTGAAATATTTTGCAGGAGAAGAATATTTAGCTAATTCAGAAATTGGATCACTTGAAGTAATTGCTTTTAATCAATGATATTTCGGTTAAGGGTCTGATTTGCCCCTCTACTATCATAAATGGGCCTTATTTATCCTTCGTTTAAGTTTTCTATCAAAAATATCCTTACCGTTATAGATTAGGTGCATATTTATCCCTTACACGTTAAAAACACCCTCCTAGCTTTTAAAATCCACGTGGCATCCCCTTATTGGACTAACTGACCTGCTCTATTTTTTTAATTCAAACCCGCCCGATCCAACAGAACTACACCCATACGTTAAAAAAAATCAATCTGACCATCTCCTTCACTCACTATCTGCCAAAGATTTCAAAACTTCATCATGCTCATCATAGCTTTCTGCAAATTGATCGGTCAACGATCTTAGACACAACAAGCCATCCTGGAGTGATTGAATCCGATGCTTTAAGTCGATAATCAAATCGATCTTAGAACATAACAACTCCCCCAATTTTCCCAAGAAACAATCGAGAAATCCTAATCTATTTGTCTTGGGGAAGCTATAACATGAAGAATCTGGAACTTTGAAACAAAACATTTTGACCTCTGCTTCAACAAGCCTAAGCAATTTTTCTTGAGCATGCTTCATGAGGTCTTGGAGTTCTTGATGCATATCGCGATGCTGTATAATATCTGCAAGGATAGAGCCCAAGTACAGTAGTTTTTCTTTGACTACTGGGACCTGATTCTTCAGATAAGAGATTGAATAATCATCAGAGTTCAGCACCCTGTCCTGGTGGTGTAATAAGAAAATAATGTCTTCCCCATTAGACACGTTCCATAAGGGGATGCATCCAGAAGTTGAAACCATACTTTTCTGACCTCTACCTTGACAGACTCAAATACTCAATCTCTTGTGGAAAATCGAATAATGAAAGCATCATTTTTTCAGTGCTACCTCCATCCATTAAACCTTCATAACAAAAATCACTGACTTGTACTAACTTGTTCGTAGTCCCTTCAGCATGCCTTAAGAGATGTTAAGCTCTTTGCGTCGCATGAGAAGATCCATGAGGAAAGCTTTAAGGAAAATAAGATCCTCATGAGCACTTTCAATCAGATCCAGAATTTGACCTTCCAAAGTAGCTTTGTGCTTTAGTAGATCCATCAAGATTCTTTGAGACTCGATAAGCTTGATCGCTCATCCGTTGCTGGGATCGGGCGGGTTTAATTAAAAAAAATGGGGCGGATCAATTGGTCCAATAAGGGGATGCCACGTGGATTTTAAAAGTTGGGAGGGTGGTTTTAACGTGTAAGGGATAAATATGCACCTAATCTATAACAGTAGGGATATTATTAATAGAAAACTTAAACGAAGGATAAATAAGGCCCATTTATGATAGTAGAGGGACAAATCAGACCCTTAACCGATGATATTTCGTTCGAGTTGCAAAGTTGAGCGTTGTGTTCTCTTCTTCTTCTTTCATCTCTCCACCTAGGGGAGTACAAAGGAAACCGACAAACCGCACCAACTCGATAATCCGAGTCAAACCGAGAAAAAGAATTCGACTATGGTTTGGTTTGATTTGGTTTGGTGTTGGAAAAAAAAAACCCGACCATAAGTGGTTTGGTTTGGTTTTAACTAAAGAAAGTCAAACCGAAACCGAAACCAAACCAACCCGACATTACATATATATAAATTTTAGATATATTTAATATATAAATATACTTATTGTAATGTAATTTAGAACTTTTGAATGTTACAATAAGTTTTATAGCCATTAATATTAGTAAATTAAATAATGCTAACAAAAGACCAAACCAAAATCAAATCTATACTAATGCTAGCAAAAGACATTCAATTCAACACTACGAACCACAATGTATTGAATATCTATTTTTTGCAATAATTTAGATAAAAATGCATAACCTATTTTTATTTTTTCTTCAGCATTTAGTCATGTAATTAATACTCCTTTATTAGTCTACTTATTTTAGCATGACTTAGTACTTTTAGATTATGTTTATTTTTATTATGGCTTTTTAATTAGCAATATTTATATTACATAATTTTATTGTCTTTATTGTTGAATATTTCAGGATAATTCCATGACACATCTCATATTTTGTATTATTTTCTTGAAAAATACATTATATAGTTGTATCTTACTAGGATTAATGAAATATTTTGAGCACAAATTATATATCTTGTTCTTCAAAGATTTTACCGGAAAACCCCGAAAAAAACCCGAATAATCCGAAAACCCGAAAAAAATCGAGATTAAAAAATCCGAGTTTATTGGCTTGGTTTGGTATTTAGATTTAACAACCCGACACAATTGGTTTGGTTTGATAATTGCAAAATCCGAATCAACCCGACCTATATACACCCCTATCTCCACCTACGGTAGCCCTACTGTATTTAAGTTTTTTATTGTTGTACCCCTATCTCCACCTACAATTACACATCTCAGATATATAGCCAGTTAGCCACTATTGGCAGCCTCATAATTAGACGTCATATATAATCAATATTGCAGGGGCGGATTCACAGTCCAAATTATGGTGCACTGAACTCATAGCTTCTTCGTCAGACAAGATATTTTGAGTACATATTTCTTAGAATTAATTAATCCATTATTATTTCCAAAAAGATTTAAATGTTGAATTATTTATCCAATATTAGCATGCAGACATGTCATAAGATTCAAACCAATAATATTGTCAGATCTTGAAAATCGAGATTTACGATCAAACCAATAATATTGTGATATTTTGAAAATCGAGATTCAAATTCATAATACCGAAACTACGTTGGACAAAAAGCGAAAAAAGCAAAGATACCCTGAAACTATCGAAAATAGATTATTTTTGCCCTCCGTTATTTTTTGGTACTAAATTATCCTTGCCGTCTAAAAATGGGACCACACTTGCTCCTTCTCCTAGCAGAACTCCAGCTCACATTTGACCTAAGTAAAAAAATTATTTTTGGCTGACATGGAGCTCTAGCAATGTTCTATCTCGTAGATTTGCATTAGCTTGGTCAAACTAGTGCAAGCAAATACAGATGTAGAATTACTCCATTAGTGTAGGAACTAATGTACTATTACCATTTTGTAACAATGTGAGCGAATTTTAGTATACCGTATATTATTATAAAAATTAGAGAAACAATCCAAATTTACCTTTGAACTTTGCAAAAAAGTAAAAATATGTCCTATATTAATATTGGAGTCAAGATTTATTACTGATGACCCAAAAGGTCATCTTATGTGACTATAAAAAAAGGCTCTTTTTGTGGGGGTTATTATGATAATTTGTGGCGGTTTTCAACCCCCACAAAATGAATTGTGT